AGAGAGAGTTGGGAAACGAGTCCGCCGCCCTACTCGCGAGTAAAGTGGTTCCCGCTAGCAGCTTCCTCGTGTCCGGGAGTGGCGCCCTCGGGTCTTCTCCTAAAGGAGAAGGGGGAGGGGGAAGAGACTACAAAGCCCATGAGGCGGCTCCGGCATAAAGGAGGGCACCGCTGCACCCCCTCCCGCTTTGGGCGTCCTGCTTTGTGCCCTCCTGATTGACAGCGCGGCCGGGCCCGCCCCCTCCCGTTCCGCCGCCTCTTCCCCGACGCCGCCGGGCGCTCCTGCGCCTGGCCTGGCCAGGATCGCCCCCTTCCCGGCTCCTCCTCCTCCTCCTCTCCTCCAGCCGTCGAACTCGGCTTCCTTCTCTTGAACCGGGCGGAGGAGCGCGCGATCCGGTCCTTGGAGGGGGGGGAGAGATGCCGTCCCGCCACCGGACCGGCGGCAACATGCGAGCAAGGTGAGTTTCCCCCATTGGGGGGGAGGGAGGAGAGGGAAGGGAGGCTGCCTTGATCGTCTCTCCCCCCCCCCGTCCCCCCGGAAAAAAAATGGTTATAACTTGAATTTTTATATAATTTTCCCCCCACCTGCAGGGTGTTTTTCCTCCTGGCTGCTTTGTGCCTGTTGCCGGATCGTGTGGACGCGGTAAGTGTTCTCCTTTTTCCCGAGTTCGGATCCCGATCCGGTTCGGCACCGTTTTAGGCGCGAGGAAAAAGGCTCGCACGCACGCACACACCCCGCTGAAAGAGGAACGCTTGGGCAGGGCTTACTCGCGAGGAAGCTGCGCTGAAGGGGCTCTCCACGCGCTGGATGGCCGGGGAAGAAGGGGATTTCTCTAGAGTAAAGGGAACTCTCTCTGTGTGTGTGTGTGTGTGTGCTGAGAATGTCAGGGGAAAACCAACGCAGTTCTTCAAGGGGGGGTGGGCGTTTGATGTCTGGCTAGTGCGAGAATCGCGGGTGCAGAGCCCACGTGTGGATGCTCCTCCCGTGTTGGCGGTTCGGACGAGAAAGCGCTGTGGGCAGAGAGGTGGGAAGGGCTCCGGCTTGGTCCGCCACCCACGTGGGGCCTTCTCAGGCCAAAACATAACTTGGCCACATCGGAGACCTCAGGCGCCCTCATTCCCCCACCCCTTTACTCAGGAGTAAATCCCACCGACCGTTGAGAAAGTCTGTCGTTCCCTGCAAACTCCCCGGTAGAACCGCAGACCCTTCGTCCTTCTGCTATGCATGCTTGCATGCGTGTTTTGCTGGGACATTTGACTTAAACACACCATCAGGTCCTATGGGGACATCTATTTCTTTGGCTGTTTTCTCCAAAGCTGATCTCGGGCTCCCTTTAAACACCTAAGCAATAGGGGATGAGGTGGCTTTGAACCCATGTTTACTGTGGAGTGGGGGGGGGCAATAAACAAAAAACTAACCACAGCAAATGGGTAACAGTTACCTTAGGAAGGAAAAGGAGACAATGTTTCCGCTCTTGTTATGGCAAAAGTAGTCCAGGATTTTTGCTGTCAGATGCAAAAGATGTTAATTCATATTCTATGCGCATCTAAGGATCCTGTACAGGTAGTTAGAGCTTTATTTCAATATTGGCCATGGGTCAAGGTCAATGCAATGCACATGGCTGGTTTAAGGTCAACAAGACAGGCGGTGTGGCTTACTATTTCTTTTAATATAAGGTCATATTTAATATTTGTTATTATGTGCCATCAGCAAACTCAAGCCTGTGGCTTTATTTAGGGGGTCAATCCATCTCGTATTGGGTCTTCCTCTTTTCTTGCTGCCTTCTACCTTTCCTAGCATTAGGGTCTTTTCCAGAGAATCCTGCCTTCTGTTGATGTGCCCAAACAGCCTCAGCTTCTATCTTTCTGCCCCCCGAGAGAGTTCAGGTTTGATTAGCTCTAGCACCCACTGGTTTGTCTTTCTGGCGGCCCAGAAAAGCTCTCCTCCAGCACTACAGGTAGCCTTCCACCAACCCTAGTCCAAAACCTGGAAAGCGATACTTCTCGGAAGAGTGATCTGTTTATTTATTTCCAGCATCCTTGCTAGGTATAGCTGAAAGCGAGCACAGAACATGTGGCTGGTCTGTCACAAAGCAAAAGTATGTTTAAAAAGGACCTTTTCGCACTTGCTCCTCTAGCAGTTACTTTCTCAAGTTTTCAGGGACAGCCGAAATTGACTAGACCCGCTCTTGAGATCATCGGGTCTAGTCAATTTCATTCCTTAAACTTCATCCTCTCTTTTTCAGGACAGGTGTTGTTGGTTTTAAGAGAAAAGCAGAACATTGCTAGGTGGGAAAGGTGACTCTGCACATTTTTGAAGCAATTCTGCCCATGAAGACACGGGTCTCCGTGGACATTTAGTCATTGTAGTTGCAAAAATGCTGCTCCTTGCATGGGTAGGGAAACTGATGATGTGTAATGCATGGCAACAGTTCCAAATGTATGTGTCAATTGCAGGAGCGCTGGTTATGCTACAGGAAGCTAGCTTAGGCTGCAATGTGAGACACAGTTAACTAAGGGCCTGATAAACTTAACTTTTGAAGAGAGATGCATCGAATGCCAGGGCTAGAAATGTTTCCCAGGTCCTGTTTCAACAGCTGTGAAAACTTGTCTATGGGAGACTAGGTTGGGACAGAGAAATAAACCTATACAGCCAGATCAATGGTAGTCCCATGAGGTTCCTACAGTGTGGAAAGGTATGAGTTTCACTTTCTACCATATTCCAATTTATGTTAAACTCCTAGTTCTTTCCATGTGAGGAGAGGTGCACATTTTTGGTGAATTGGGGCTGAAGAGCTGTTGGAACTGGTTACTTAATACAATGATTACAGATGGAATTTTCTGCTTTCTTGGACTAGAAATCTCATGGTTCTCCATTTTGGGAGTTTTGCCTGACAGACCCCTTACAGGTGCCTGAATTTGGCTCACCTGGGAGAAAGGCTTCAGCTTAGAAGGCTTTGAGGCCTAGCTCGGCCTAGTTCCACCCAAGCTTCCTGTTCCTGCCCCAGTGCAAGCTGGGAGCATTTTTTCCTGAATAGGAAGCTAAGTGAAGCTAGGCCTAGCTCAGCCTCAAAGCTTTCCAGCTGAGGACATTCTTCCAGGTGAGCCACCTTCAAGGATATGTAAGGCATCTGTCTGTCAGGTAGAACTCCCAAAATGGAAATCTATAGGTTTTCTAAACCAAGAAATCCAAAAATTCCACATTGTTACTTCCTTGAAACTAAACCCCATTAGACTTCCTTCAGGATCCATGGGCCAAATTGCAGAGTTAGTTCATTGTGTTAAAATCGCATTGAAATGTATGGAACATAACTTCCATGAGTCTTGAGTTTAGTTGTGATACAACAAGCTTACAATCTAGGTAACAACAGGTAGATCTGTTATAGTACATTCTGTTGAAACCAAGAGATTAAAACAAGTTCAGCTGAGTTTTATCCTTGTGCCTTTTCCCAGGGAACATATACGTTATCTCTTCTTCTTTATTCCCACAAAAATCCTATGAAGTACCGTATTTTTCCGTAAATAGTTGTGCTTTCTAGTTACTTCCAGAGCTTATTTTTCAAGAAGATTTGAAGCTATTAAGGTGTGAAGGCTTCTTTGTAGTATTGCTTCTCCATGGTCAATCCTAAGGTTCTTCCCAAAGCAAATTAAAGAAAAAGTAAGGAACATCAAAATAAATGGCATAATAGCTCATCTTTTCCAAACACTATAGGGAGTAATGACAACAATTATTTTCAAACACTGGAGCATGCAATGAGATAATAATGTACTTCCAACTTAAAAGGGTCCAGCAGTCCTTCAAATATCTGCTGTTATGAATCTTACTGGGAAATGGATTCTTATATTCCCCTGTTACAAGTCAAACCATTAGAAGCAGTATTTTCTGATCTTCAAATTGGTTGTTAGCTGAAATGTCCCGCAAGAGCCATTTGGGTGTGTTGGAAATAATCCTTTTCCTAAATTAGTCAAATGCTGATAAAGGCCAGACTTTAGTTCACTGCAGCTTCCTGTTTGAAAAGGGTTGTGTTTTATAACTTATTTATCGAGCCATTTGGGTGTGTTGGAAATAATCCCTTTCCTAAATTAGGCAAATGCTGATAAAGCCCAGACCTTAGTTCATGCAGCTTCCTGTTTGAAAAGGGCTGTGTTTTATAACGTATTTATCCAATTGAAACAAAAGAGAACCATGTGGTCATTATACATGTCAGAAATGTAGGAGCAGGCAATACGTTTACAGACCACCATCTTATCTGACTTCATTGTTGATTTAACAGCTTTGCTCATTCAGCCACTACTAATCATAGAATTTAAACATGAATGAAAATAGAAATATGTAGAATTTAAACATAAATGCAAATAGAAATATGTACACCTGCAGAGTGTTAGCGCCCTGGTTTCCCTGCCTCCCCTACTTTGGGTGCTGCCTCTGAGTGGGTGGCTGCTAGAGGAGGCAGGGCTGGGAAACACTGTTTGGCCAGAATACGAACCACCACAAACCACTGAACTGGTGGTTCATGCCCATTGCAAGATCACGTATGTATTCCAGGTGATCTGGATTTGGCCAACAGAAGGTAGAGGGAAAGCTGATCAAAGGGGCAGAAGGACAAGGAAGACCCTTTCAAAGTGACTCCTGGAGTATTTTCGTCAACTCCTTCCCAAAGCTTGAACCACAAACGCTTGGCTTCCAGCAGGTTACACCGAAGTAGCCTCACGGCTTTCAGTGAAGCGGTTCCAGTGCAAGCGCGTTGTCCCATGTGGAATTCTCCTCCTGTTTCCTGCTAGTCAGGAGAACAGAAAACCAGCCTCTTACAACAAAGGACTGTTATCGGCTGAAAAATGAGAGATCTTAACACACGTGTTTGCTTTGGTAGCTTTCCATCCGAATGGCCAAGAAAAGTGTGGCCTGGAGGAAAAGCACCACCGGAGTCCGGCTCACGTCTCAAACTTTCCTAGTCACGAAAGGACTTTTTTAAAATTTCCTTCTTTTTGGTTGTTGTGTTTTTCCCCCCAGGAGATGAGTTGAATTTCTATTTGGCAAAAACGACCACACTTAAGACCTCCTTCCCCACTTCCTATTTGAAAAAAACACAACACAGACAGATGTTGTAACAGGAATCCAAAATCTCTTTGGGCTCTGGATGTTTGCTTCGAGAGCAGTGGTTGCCAACCTTGGGTCTCCAGATGTTCTTGGACTCCAACTCCCAGAAATCCTGGCCAGCACAGCCGGGGTGAAGGCTTCTGGGAGTTGTAGTCCAAGAGCCTCTGGAGATCCAAGGTTGGGAGCCCCTGTTCTATTGTACCCTCAGAGGTGCTGGGAGGCTTGGTGTGTTTGAGGAATGAGCTTCAACAGTCCTGTTTGCAGCCTTCAGACCTGTAGCGTCTCCACTTACAGAGGTAGAATATTCACAACGGTGTGGATTAGTGTAAGAGTCAGTGTAGCATGATGGGAGAGCCCATAGTGAACAGAGTCTGGAAACCTGGGTTCAAATCCCCACTTGACCATGGAAACACACTGGGAGATGGCACTGGTAAAACCATTCCTTAAAAACCTCACATGCCCTGAGAAAACCCTACTAGGGTTCGGCATAAGTCAGATACAACTCAATGGGATGAAATAAACAGTGGATTGGTGTTTTTATCTAT